TATACACAATGGTTCAGGTAGTGCAGTATACAAGTCTAACATAAGCAGGCGCATACACCATATTATACAAATATAAAGCAATGGAGGGTACTAGAGGGGCATGTCCAAAAGTGAGCCCCACAAATAGAAAGACCTAAGAACAGTTCCTAGGAAAAACATATCATGTTATATACAATGCAGTGGACAGTTTGAGCATGCGCGGGCGTGCATATGGGTCTATACACCAGCCAGGGAGCAGTGTGAGCCGGCACATTTACAGCGGTCAATGTAATGCAGTGGACAATTGTGGCGTGTGTTTATGCCATGGTACCCGCTCTGCGGCGAGCAGTTTTAGTGATGGCAGGCGCAGAAACAGTGGTGTGCAGCAGGGGGCTGGGTAGTTGTGACCTGTGCATGCGGGTGAGATGCAGCGCCACGGATAATTATAGCATGCGCTGGCACTTAAGCGGTGGGCAGTTGCAGCATGCGTGGGCGCTATTTCAACTGTCAAAAGTAAAGACAAATAAGTCAATGGGACCTGATGGAATACACACAAAGTTATTAAAAGAGCTTAGTGGTGTACTAGCAAAACCATTAACAGATTTATTTAACCAATCATTGTTAACAGGAGTAGTCCCAGAAGATTGGAAGTTAGCGAATGTTGTACCCATTTACAAGAAAGGTAATAGGGAGGAGTTGGGCAACTATAGGCCAGTAAGCCTTACTTCAGTAGTGGGGAAAGTGATGGAAACCATGTTAAAGGATAGGATTGATGAACATCTAAAAACACATGGATTTCAAGATCAGAGACAACATGGGTTTACTTCAGGGAGATCATGCCAAACTAATCTTACTGATTTTTTTGATTGGGTAACTAAAACTATAGATCAGGGTGGTGCAGTAGACATTGCTTACCTAGATTTCAGTAAGGCTTTTGACACTGTTGCACATAGAATGCTTATCAATAAACTGCAATCTTTAAGTTTGGATTCCAATATTGTTGAATGGGTAAGAAAGTGGCTAAGTGACAGGCAACAGAGGGTTGTAGTCAATGGAGTATATTCAGAGCTTGGGCTTGTCACCAGTGGGGTACCACAGGGATATGTACTTGGACCCATTCTCTTTAATATTTTTAATAGTGATATTGCAGAAGGTCTTGATGGTAAGGTATGTCTTTTTGCTGATGATACTAAGATATGTAACAGGGTTGATGTTCCAGGAGGGATAAGCCAAATGACAAATGATTTAGGTAAACTAGAAAAATGGTCAGAGTTGTGGCAACTGACATTTAATGTGGATAAGTGCAAGATAATGCATCTTGGACGTAAAAACCCAAGGGCAGAGTACAGAATATTTGATAGAGTCCTAACCTCAACATCTGAGGAAAGGGATTTAGGGGTGATTATTTCTGATGACTTAAAGGTAAGCAGACAATGTAATAGAGCAGCAGGAAATGCTAGCAGAATGCTTGGTTGTATAGGGAGAGGTATTAGCAGTAGAAAGAGGGAAGTGCTCATGCCATTGTACAGCACACTGGTAAGACCTCACTTGGAGTATTGTACTCAGTACTGGAGACCGTATCTTCAGAAGGATATTGATACTTTGGGGAGAGTTCAGAGAAGGGCTACTAAACTGGTTCATGGATTGCAGGATAAAATTTACCAGGAAAGGTTAAAGGATTTTTAACATGTATAGCTTGGAGGAAAGACTAGACAGGAGGAATATGATAGAAACATTTAAATACATAAAGGGAATCAACACAGTAAAGGACGAGACCATATTTAAAAGAAGAAAAACTACCACAACAAGAGGACATAGTCTTAAATTAGAGGGGCAAAGGTTTAAAAATAATATCAGGAAGTATTACTTTACTGAGAGGGTAGTGGATGCATGGAATAGCCTTCCAGCTGAAGTGGTAGAGGTTTACACAGTAAAGGAGTTTAAGCATGCGTGAGATAGGCATAAGGCTATCCTAACTATAAGATAAGGACAGGGACTAATGAAAGTATTTAGAAAATTGGGCAGACTAGATGGGCCGAATGGTTCTTATCTGCCGTCATATTCTGTTTCTATGTTTCACTCCCCACTCCTCGCTTCCACGCCTAACTGACCAAAAACTGTGCAGGTAAGTATGAGCAAGTGTTCACAAATCCTGACATCATGCACCAGTTCTGGGCATTTCAAGATTACACTCTGGAACAGTTCAAGATCTTCAAATGATGCATTATATTAGCAGACAAGTGGTTCTCCTGAGCTAACAGGGTTTAAAGATTGCTGCCTCTTAGATAGCAAGGGTAAGCCTGGAGATACAGTGAAAGAGTTATCAATATACATGCATTCGTTACAATAATATACATTTAAACCACACTTCCAAGTCCTCTAATAAGTTTAATATTGGGTTTTGGGAAATAAGACAAAATAAAGTTGTTAAAGCACCGACAGTGTTGCTTGAATGTTACATTATTTCAGGACTATGGAACTCAAATCAAGTAATTATTTAAGTTTTAATAATTTTTCAATAACAAAATAAATGTGTGTTGCACAGACTATTTTATTCAGAAATGTCACCAACATACATTCGGCATTTTGCTAACTCATCTTAACTATGATTTGTTTACGTGAGAAATTAGGCAGCATTATCACTAAATGTAAACCTGTCAAGTAGTCTAGGTTTGTATGGCTGCCAAAGTGACATGGGGAAATAATAATTATTTAGGGCGAAAGAGCATCCTCAGAGCATGAAGCTGGGGGGTGGGGGGAGCCTCCTGATATCTGTTTAACCCTTTGACACTAGGATAAAAGGAGATAACTGTTCTCGGGCCAAGAACAAAAGATCCAAACCAGCACCTGTCTGCATATGTTGTGGCTTGAAAACTCTTTTGCAATTCAAATTTACACCTGGCATGATTGTTGAGATATTCTGCTACGTAGCTTTATTTAAATTATTGGATGTTCCTCGAATAATATAAAAAAAATGGTGTCTATGTAAATAAATTAAATGCAACATGCTCAAATGAACAAGTAATATGAGACAAGATTGTAATATGTAACATAAATAAAATAAAACATTTTTTACATACTATTATTTTTATTATAATTACGAATTACTGACATTCTATAACATTAGATAAAAAAAAAAAATCTGTTTGCAACCTGTGGTAGTTATAGTACTTAAATTGCAGATTTTAGTAAATAAACTAAAGAAAATTTGGAAATTATAATGAAACAATCAGATAACAGTAAAAATTTAAAACTAAATGCAGTGTGATGAAGTAGGCCAAAATTTGCCATTATTGTATCTTGCTTGAATAGTGTATCTATATTAAGACCGTTTTTTGTTTTTTTTACTATTAAAAGAAAGCTGGGTGAAAAGGCTAATCACGGCAGCATCACTTATGGGTAGCTCCACCCCTAGCGTAAACAGGACAGGACAAACAATTAACAAGATCGTAGGTATAAAAGGTCCTTCCATATCACATTCTTTTATTCTATCCTCAGCCGGACAGACGGGAATTTTCCTAAGAAGTTTAAATTTTTTGGTCCTCCTTTCCATGTTTAACAGATAAACCTCTCTTCGTCTGAAGAACTCAGTTAACAGCCTACAAGAGAAGAGAAGCACTAACTGACTTAGGTTTACTTTATATACTGAACTGCACCGTGGGTCTATAGAGGAAAAAAGGAAGAGCTAAAAAAAAAAGCATTGCACTCCAAGCCTCCCATTTATTCTAAAGGGTTTTTTTTTTTTTTTGCTTTAAAAATCCATCTCCTGTTTCCTCACTGGGTGCTATGCAAGTTTAAGCAGAGTTTTGAGAAGCCATAGATATACCTGGGTTCACCGGAAAAGGCGCAAACGTGGGCTGCTATTCAACATGGCAAATCAAGGAGAATAGGTAACACCTATTGTAACACTTCAGATGCTTTTGAAAAAGGCATGAAAGCGGCGACGTCGGATGATCCGCGATCCAATGCCCTTGGGCTTGCGTAAATTCTCCATCCTCATTTATTTTTTTTACCAGGAAATGTAAAGTTATAGGCCAGCCTTTTTACCCAGTTTTCTTGTTGTATAGTGTGCTGCCCAGTCTGTGATTCATTTTCTTTAGGTAGTCTTTGAAGTTCTTTTGACAGACTTGAATTTCTTTTATAGCTCCTATTCAAATGAGAATTAATATTAATATAAAATTTCCCTTTCGTATAATATTTCAGAATGGCTTCTCCCTCTGCCTCAAGACACTAAGAACCTAGAAGAATAAGGTGAGCCAAGAATTTGGGGAGATTAAAAGAGAGCCTAGAGGCCTACAAACTAATTGAAGTGTGACCTCTTTTATTGCAGCCCCAGCAGAGCTCATGAACATTCTCCTAGAAAACATAAGAAGTCAAACCGCTGTATGGGTTGCATCCAGATTGTTCCAGAATGGAAGAATCTGTGCAGAATTTGCCTGTCATAAGTAGCTACATAACAGCTCAGCAAGAGTTCTCTCCAAGAAGATATTAAAACATAGATCACTCAAGCTATAGAAAGAATTAGTTCAGCAACAGAGAATTTTGCTCTGGCTAAATGAACCAATTCAGAATTCCTAGAAAGTATGTCAGAGGAAGAAGATGAAACCCTTCTGAGTATAATCATTGCCTTTAGGCATTCTCTGAAAAGGCAGTGTTTACATTGCACCTTGGGACACCTCCAAATGGCCACTCCTCAGATGGCCACTTTAGGTGCTTCCTTGGGTAGTGCTGCACAGTAGGCAGCACTGAGGTTCAGCGTCTCCACGCACTGCATGGGGATGCTGAATTTTCTTCATAGAGATGCATATATTCAATGCATCCCTATGAAGAGGTGCTAATTGGCCAAAATGACGTTTGGCCCTGCCCCCTTGCTGATTTTAGCCAATCCAATGCTTTTCCCATGGGAAAGCATTGGATTGGCTAAATATTGGCAATTCTGATGATGTCACCAAGTTGGCGGGGCCAGTGCCGGTGGACCCGCACGGCGCTAGAAACAAGGTGAGTTTTAATTGCTTTTAAGGGGGCTTAGTGGGGGGGCAAGCCACCTAAATGGGTCAGGAATAGACCACTATAGAGTCAGGAATACATGTTTGTGTTCCTGACCCTATAGTGTTTCTTTAACATACATTTCAAGAGCACTCAAAGTTTGGATAAATAATTTTAAAGAGGACTGTGACTAAAGCAACTTTGCCACTGGTTCTTGGAGGGGACTACTTGCCAGCCTTTTACCCTGTGACTATGGCCCCTTTAATTTGTTTTGGCTGAAAGACCCTAATTATGGCTATTGGAACTGTGACGAAATGCCTTTTGTCACTGGATTGTAAAGTGACAAGCTGCCCTTTGCCCCCGGCTGTTGGAGGAGCCTGATTGCCAGCCTCCTGCCTCATGACTATGACCCTGGGTTGTATGGCCCTTAACAAACATTATTTGGGCTAATGGATTTATATTGTGCTTCTGCTGGCCCTTTAAGAACTGCATTGTGGCTTATGGACTTGTATTGGACCATGCTGGCCCTTTAAGAACCATCTGGGGACATATTGAGACTTTGTGTGACAATGCCCCTTTAAGACTATGTCCCCAGACCTTTAAAATACTTTGTCTATGGCTTTCTCCCACTTGGTTCAGTAAATGGAGATTACTGAACCAAGTACCACACAGGAGGGCCACCCAGAAGTGGAAGTGTGCAGGCAATTTACCTCCCAGACTGGGAGTCTGCTGTAGGTAAATTGCCAACCGCTGGGTGGCCGCAGTTCGTGCAAGCGAACACGTGGCGGCGGCCATCTTTGTTCATTCGAACGGGGGCAGCAGTATGTGTAGCCAAATTCATGGAACTGAAATCGGCTACACGTTTCAACGAACACATCATGAAGTTTCGGCTCATGTTTGTGGGATTGGAGAACTACACTCTGGGGATTGCTATAATCACTATACTCCCCAGGGTATAATCACTAAGCTCTGCTAAGAGCCTGTTCCTGTTCCTGCTCTCTAGAATTCGGAGAGGTCAACCTGCTGGAAGCTGTACCCTGGTCTTTGGTCCAGAGTGGGTGGAGACCGCGAGACCCCAACCAAGCTGCGGCAGTTTGTGGGGTCTGTAGTGGTTATGGTGTCAGGTGGAGTGCTTGGAGACCTCGGGAAGCACTAGGAGCATCCGTCAGCGAAAGGTACCCGGTCGGGGTGCCAGCGGCTCCGTTACAGGGACTTTAAATAATGGTTCTTCAAACTCCTAACAGTCGAAGTGACCGCCATTCGACATTCGAACACGTGGTGGCAGCCATCTTGTTCGCATGGACCAAAACCAAAACTATTTTCGGCATGAAAACCTTGTG